AATTTTTATAAAAGTAATGCATATGTATAGGAAAAAAGTAGAAAATACAGATAAATAAAAGGAAGAAAGAATATCCATATTCACACAACCCAAAGAGAACTAAATATTCTAAATCTCTTAGTGTGTATCCTTCCAGACTTCTTCATTTTGATACACACACACACACACAGAGTTTTAAATATTTTTCTCTATAAAATTTTTGATATCTCAAGTGGGATTATATTATACGTATGATTTTATAAACTTTTTTCGCTTAACATATAATCTTTTATTAAAAAATTTTCTGCACAATCATATTGAGTCTTTTGGAGACTTAGTCGAGCTCTGTAGAGACAGTAGAACCTCACATTTCTGTCAGATAATATTCCTCAAATACAGCTAAGATCTTTCCTGGCTGTCCTAGAACCTTTGTGGCGCACCATTGCTTACAAAATGAGTTTCATATTTATTAACCTGGTGTTCAAGAAACCGCAGGCTAGTCCCTCTTGGAGTAGTAGTGGGGAAGAGGTGAGACAACATAGCCGAGTGTGGGAAGAACCGCCGTTGGGCTGGCAGAACAAGCGAGAACAAGTAGAAGGACCCTCTCTATTCTGAAGGGCGTAGCTGTGACTGCTAGAGACAGTGCTTTGAGCTGATACCCAAAGAATGACCTAGTTAGCCAGGCCAGGAGAAGAAGGGGCTGGGGTTGGGCTTGGGGGTTGGGAGGATACCCTCTCAGAAGAAGAGAGATCACAAGTTAATGCCAAAGGTCTAGAGAGGCCACAGAAAGCAGGGCTTGATGGAAGGAAGAAGTGTGTTTGTGGGGGCCTTGGGGGGTGGCTGTAAAAGTAAAGGGCTGGTCCTGAAGGGCCATTGTCTGGAACCTTTCAGAGCCTTGTTCCATCACTGCCTGTTGCATGGAACCTTCCTTTTTCAGCCAGAGAAAACCCCGTGTCTAAACTGCCATGGCTCTTGGCCTTCCTCCTCTCAAAGCTTTTATCACTTTTTACTGGACAAACTCATTGTGTGTGTGTTTTTTTTAATTTGTGTGTCACAATTTCTTCTATATTTTGTAAGTTCCTTGGAAGGAGGGCCTCACACCCGAACATCTCATTTCACCTATATTGCATGTAGTAGGTGGTCAGTACTTGTCTGCGGAAGTAACAACATAATAAGCTCAGCAGGTAGTTTCTAAGAAGAAAGAGAATGACAGTTACTCATACTTGCGTCACCTGTTCTTCCTGAGCACAGCAGAAAGAACAGAAATAGGCATGACAGACGGGGATCATACTCTTCAAGAATCTAATGTCATCTTCCATGATAAGCTCTTGTAATCACAACCTGTTCTCTGTCTATAAAGCTCCACATCTGAAACTGATGGAGTGCGAATCCCCTTCAGGTATGGGACGTTGCCACAGACATCATGCGAATTATATTGCTTTCTAATACAGTGATTTCTCAAGGTCACCAGGTCTTAATACAAAAATACCACATTTTTATAATATCTTTTTAATATTTACATTTAATAAATATTCTTTACAAATCCATTCAGCAAATATAGGCGAAGGAGGTGAAGCACAATCCTGCTTTATGAAGCCTTCTTCTGAGGTGCCTCTGGGAACCCTCTTTTGTAGCTCACATTTGCATTGTACGGCATTTCAGAAATGTAAACGTTCCCACTGAAGCTCTTGTAGCATACAGTATTTAAACCAGCCTACCGGAGTGTTTCTGCTGATCTATCCAAATAAATGCAGATCGTTTTTTGTTTGGTTTGGTTTTGTTTTTTAAGATTTTATTTATTTATTTGACACAGAGAGAGACAGCAAGAGAGGGAACACAAGCAGGGGGAGTGGGAGAGGGAGAAGTGGGCTCCCCACAGAGCGGGGAGCCCGATGCGGGGCTCGATCCCAGGACCCTGGGATCATGACCTGAGCCAAAGTCAGACGCTAAACGACTGGGCCACCCAGGCGCCCCTGTTTTTTAAGATTTTAAGAAATTTTTATTTATTTATTTGAGAGAGAGAGCATGAGCAAGGAGGAGAGGCAGAGAGAGAAGCACACTCCCCACTGAGCCGGGAGCCTGACACAGGGCTGGATCCCAGGACCCTGGACTGCTTAACCAACTGAGCCACCCAGGTGCCCCAATGCTGATCGTTTATTATTATTATTATTATACTTTATTCATTTCAGGGTCAGTCCGTGTTACTTTCAGTGTTTTGTGGCAATTTAACTGTTGAACAGGTATCTTGTGGAAAGTATGCCAGTTCCCCAGTATGTAGGGAAAAGATGATTGGATGACACCTCTGAAGGTATTGACAGAAAACTAGGAGTACATACCTTACTCTAACTGTTATAAATTTTTCACATTTTTCATATGCATTTTGCGTTTGTAGTACCCCTTTGGTTGTCTAGTTTATTAGTTCTGTATCTCACTATAACATACTATCTCAAAACTTAGTGGCTCAAAATACATTTATTACCTCATGGTTCCTGTGTGTCATGAATCCAAGCAAGGCTCAGTGGAATCTTCTAGCTCACGGTCTCACAGGCTGGCTGTCCTCAAGGTGGTAGCCAGGCACAACTGGAGAAGGATCCGCTTTCACGCTCACTCACATGGTTGTTGGCAGGATTCAGTTCCCTGTTGGCTGCGGGCCAGAGGCCCCCTCATTCCTTGCCACATGGGCCTCTCCATAGGCCAGCTTACAGCATGGCAGTTGGCTTCATTACAGCAAGAACGCCAAGAAGCTCCAGGGAGGGAGGGCACGCAGAGGTGGCAGCCATAGCCTTTGGTAATCTAGTCCAGGTCCTACCCATCACGTCCTCTCTCATGTATTCATTAGAAGCAGATCACTAGGTCTAGCCCGTATTCCTGGGGCGAGAGTACGAGGAGGTGAGGATTATTGCAGGTCAGCTACAGTTAGGAAAACTTCTTTAAGACCATAAATTTCCATTTGGTAGAGGATGAGTTCTGTACTTTGAGTCAGCTTGCAGTTGTATGTTGGAAATGAATATAAATATTACATGTTTGTATAGCCAGAGACCTGAGTTATAATGAATATGTTAAACTGAGAAGTTTTGGCTCTTACTGGCTGGTGTCTGCCCATTCTCCTTATTCTCCAGATGGGGAGGCTGCCCCACCGTGCTGATGCCCATCAAGGCTGAAGGGGCTGTCCGATCAGGACTGTTCCCTCCTGCATCTCTTTAGACATTGACTCCAAGCATATTTTTTTCTCATAATTACATGAGATACGCCTCTTTTGTGTGTTGAAATACATCTTTAAAAATGAGCGTTCAAAATACTACGGTAGAGGAAGCTCAACTTTTGTTCCCAGTGGCTGTGAAGTGAGGGTTCCTGGCCTGAGGCAGTGGTTCCAGTGTATCTGGCTGACCCAGGCCATTTTTGTTAATCACTCAGGACCTCTCTAAGCCCTGAGGGGACCCAGGCTTCCCAGCCCGAACCACCTCAGTTTAGTGTTATCCCTTATCCTTAGAGACCAGGGTAGTTAGACATTTCCAGAACCAGCCTGGCCCCTAAAGATTCTTGTGTCCACATCAGATCACCTCATATCATTGTCTGGGTTTTGACTTAAAACCCTACAACAAAGGTTGCAGCCTTTGGGGCCAACCAGAAACATGGACATTAAGACTGAGAGTCACACGCAAAAACATTTTAAACACAGTGTATGTCCCTGAACATTCCAGCAAATTTATAAGTTAATTTTCCTGCCCTAATTTACCAGGAGCAGGTTCTCATATTCATACAGTGGCCAACCCATATGACCCAACTGTTTTGATAGTAAGTGATTTAATTTATAGAGGTGACTGATCTGCAGCATGAAGCGGTCAGCACCCATCAAAGGAAGTTGTATTACTCCCAGTTCCCAAGGGAAAGGGTGCATCGCCCTCGCTGGGCCACAGTGGGAAGCTGCTGGGTCTGTCTGGGTCGGGCGGGAGGTAGGAGTGAAGGAGAGAGCGCAGGCCAGAGCCTCTGTTGGAGGAATGGGCGAGGCCGGGTAGGCAAGTTTGAGCAAGCTCAGGATTGGATAGTTTGAATAATTTCATGGAGAAGGCAGCTTGTGAGCCATTGCAGAGGAGGGCTTCTTGCAGTCTCCTGCGCAGCCTTTAAACCTACCATTGCGTGGGTTCTTCCCATAGAAACTCTCATTGGGCTGGGATTTTTTTTTAATTTTTTTTTAAGAGCTCTCTGGGTGATTCTAGTATGCAAAAGGGCAGAACCAAGAACTGTGCCTTGGAGTATTCTCCAACCAGGTCTAGGGTTTGGTTCGTTTTTTTTTTTTGGTTTTTGGTTTGTTTTTAATGTTCAAATCCACTGTGGACTGACTGATATTTTTGTAAAATTCAATAAAAATGAGTTATTTGAGAAATGGGGAAAGGGATAAAATGCGAGCCCAAAGATTAGTAGAGTCAACAATATACAGTAACTGTATAAAATGGCTATGAACATTTCAAAGTGTTACCTCGTGATTTCTGTCCTGGTTGTGGTGGACATGTAACAGTGTGGGACTTGTGTGGTTGGTCAGCAGAGACTGAGTAGTGCTGATGTCGAGGGCAACATGGCAAGAGTATCCTGTATTAAGTAAAGGGAAACATGTGCCATGGGAAGTGAATTGGGTTCAGATCACACAGGACCTTGAACGCTGGCATAAATCGTTTGGCTGTCATTCTCTAGGTATTGGGGAGCCAGAGAATTCTTGAGACGAATGGCCGGATCCTGGATCCCGGCTAAGGAAGCTTACTTTGGCAACTTTGTGTACAATGGCTTCACAGTGAGGATAATTGTTAACAAGGATCTGAAAGGGGCTGGATGGTGTGGCGAGCCACTGGGTAAAATCAAGCAAAAACTGTTATCAGATTTCTGGAGAGGTCACTTCATAAATACTAATGAACTGCATAGAGGAGATAAGAATTAAAGCTAGCCACTTTTTTTTTTCAAAGCTTAAATCATCCAAAAAAAAAAAAATCCTTAAATTCTAAAGAATAACCCACCTAATGTATTTTCAGAAACCACACAGATTGAAGATCCGCGAAAACAGTGGAGAGGGGAACAGGAGAAGATGCTCAAGGACTATCTCTCGGTGGCTCAGGATGCTCTCAGGACGCAGAAGGAGCTGTACCACGTGAAAGAGCAAAGACTCGCTTTGGCCCTCGATGAATACGTACGATTAAATGATGCCTACAAGGAGAAGTCAAGTTCTCACACAAGCTGTAAGTATAGCGTGACTGCTCAGACTCTGGAAATGGGGACCGAAGTGTAGCTAAGAGAAGGCCACTTGGGTTTCAGTGGAGTTTCATTTTGAGTCCTCCTTTCTAGGCAGAAAGAGTCCCCAGAAGCCATGAGAGGGGGTGAGGGCACCCCACAGACTTCTCAGCAAAACCCCTCGACTCCATTCCAGACAGAAGTCCCCACCCGCCTCATTTGTGGAGGATGAATCCCTTCTGGTTTTTGCTCCTTCCTCTGCCTGATTGCCTTTTATTTATTGATGAGTTAATTTTTACCTGTTCAGATCAAGGCAAATAATTTGGCCCCCTTTGCTACTCTTGTACAATATTCTAGTGGGAGGTAGTGGGACTGTTGGCTGGAATGAAGTTTCTGTTGATCACCCTCTCATATCTCAGAAACTGATCATCTGGAGCTGGTTTGTCTAAAGAAGCAGTTTGGGTGGGCTCAGAAGTTCTCTAAGTTTCTGGGTAACGCACAGCTCTGACAAGCTGTATGTGCTGTCAGGTCCTCAAAGAGTTTATACGTAGGCATGAAATCCAGAGAACAGGAAGCTCCATGGTCTTTATGACATTCCTCTTTCTTGAGTTTTTATAAAAAAATGATAAAGGTTTGAAGATTACTTTTTATATTTAGGTGTCTGATGAATGACAGTAAAGGAATTCTAAAGTAAGTATCCACAGAAGCATGTAAATCTTGCTTTTAGAGTTTGTAAATTCCAAGCCGAGAGCAAGTTATACAACTTGTAAAAGTTACTTTTTTTTTTTTTTTCTCTCCGAAAAGTATTCTCAGGATCTTCATCCAGTACTAAATATGATCCCGATATTTTAAAAGCGGAGATCTCCACTACACGATTAAGGGTAAGATTTTTTTTTTTTAAATTGTGGTTCTCTGTTTAACATATGTATAGAATCTGAAGGTGATGGGAGGGGCTTCATTGACCACCTGTCCTCTCCATTCGGTGCCGGGGTGGCCGGCCTACCTTTATGACCACATGTTCAGTGATTGAGAATGTCCTCGTTATAGAGGCACGTGTCCCATTTATCGGCAGTTCTGTTATCTGCAGTAGGTTAAGTGTATTATATATACCTCGTAATATTAATATGACATTTACAGTATACTTAGTATATTTAGTATATTAAATCAACATTCGAGTCACGGGAACTTACCTTATCATGCTCAAATGTGTCTTCCAGGGTTTGGTGTAGCGCCCACAAATCGTGTTCCCAAGTCATTCCTTCTTGAGGGTAAAACTTTACTAGTTTTTCACACTTCCTCATGGATTGTTTCCTGATCTTTACCCTAAATCTTTTTGACCACACTGCTGCTAAGACCAGAGCTGCTTTATCCTTGATTTTTGGAGTCTTAAAGACTGTTTGTCGAGTAAATACATTCATGCAGCCAGTATCTCAATCATGAAATAGATTCTTACCATGACTCCAGACTTACCCTGCACCGTCACTGCCCTTCTCCCCAAAGTTAACACTGGCCTCAGCAACACTGTAGGTGAATTTCTTACTTGCTTCCTTTGAATTTTGCTAAAATTCAATACATGCTGCCGTATGTATTCTTTCACGGCTTCTTTTGAACAACACTTCGAGATTCATCCACATTAACCTTTCCTGCAGCAAGCATTCCACTTTGTGTACATACCGTAAATTGTTTATCTCTTCTACTGTTGAGGTACATTAGAGTTTATTCCAATTTAAATTAAAAAATATGTCTTAATATACATTTCTATGATACATATCTTTTGGTGCACATAGGCACACATTTTTGTTTGTTATGAAACCAGGAGTGGAATTGCCGTGTTGGAAAATAGACAAGCTTCAGTGTTAGCAGGGGCTGACAGAGGGCTTCGGGTCTCTGACTTGCTGATATCTGCCCTTAAAGCCGACTTGACTTTCTATGCATGGCTTTTGCCTTCATCCCACAGGTTTTGAATTTTGTATTTTTACTCTCAGTTCAAAATATTTTCTAACTCTCTATGATTTCTCATATGAGGGTATTAATTTTTAAACAGTTGGGGATTTTCTTATCTTTTTTTTTTTTTTTTTTTTTACTGATTTCAGCTTAATTCCCCACTGTGTATTTCTCTGTTCTAAAATTTCTGTTGGATTATTTTTTATTTCTACTTACTTGCCCAAATTCTGCACATGGATATGTAATTTTTTTGAACAAAATAATCACAGTTACTTTTAAATTCCATGTCTTTATTAATGCCGTGTATAGATTTCCTATATGTTGAATTCTTCGATTTGGTCTGTTTTTTTTTTCTCATGACTTTTGGTCACTATTTGGTCAAGCTTCTTAGAGGTGATTACTTTTTTATTAAGAGCCATATGTTATGTATGAAGAAATATAAGGATAAATTGAGGTTTGGGATGATCTTGTCATCCTTCAGAGAGGATTTAGTGTTGCTTCTTATGGACAGTTAGGCCAGGGGCAGGTAATTGTAATTCAGTCATGGTTCAAGATGTCTGAAATCTGGGCTTCATTCCTTTTGAAAGATTGGGTCTCTTTCCACTTCACCCTTTCTCTTAGGGCAGAGCTCTTCAAAATCCCACCTGAACTTTGGGGATATTTTGTGGGGATATTCCATTCCTGCTCAATGGAAGCCAAACTCCAAATGTCTCCCCTGAACCTCTCAGCTTTGTGGGACCACCAGTAGCTAGCTCTCTGACCTCCGGCTTCAGTCACTGTGTTCTCCCAACTCGTCAGCTTCTCTGTTGTACACTCGAATGCCTCCAAAGAAAAACAACACCAAGTCTGGATCCTGACTATGGGCTTTCCTTACCTTTTGGGTTTTTAACACAAGTTCTTGCTGCCATAGTAGTTCTCCAGTGTCTTCCTATAGATGTTTTGTTTTCTTTCTCACAACTTCTCTATTTGTTCTCAGAGGAAGAGCATGAGAAAAGTCTGTACTTTTGGAAGCTAAACCTCTCTTCAGTTTGGATTTCTTGGTTTAATGTGTGAAAACATTAATAGAAGTGTTCTGTGTCCTTCTACTGGAGATATCCATCCAGTGCATCACTGACCCTTTACTCTGTTGGTCCGCCCATATTTCTCTGTACACTTCTTGAGAATATTGTGGGACGGCTTGTCAGCTGCCTTGTTGTTGTACCTCAGTCTATACATTTCTGTGATTTAAAAAAAGGAAATGAAAGTATTTTGTTAAAACTTACTCTGAGTAAAATTTAATACTCACTGGAACTATGCACATATCAGGAAATTATTACATATTACAATTGCCCTTTGAAATTTTAAGTTTTTCACAGTTCTTGTCTTTGTAAAACACGTTGTAAATGGAATAACCACAATAGGAAGAGTCTTCTATTTTTCCTTTTAGGAAAGGTGAAAACTAAAGAAGAGTTGTTGCTTTTTATTTTTTTAGTTCAAATTAGTTAACATACGGTGAAAACTAAAGAAGAGATTTCAAACAAAAGCATATAGGGTATCTCCTGCAGATAACCATTTAGAAGGAAATGAAGCCCCATCACAATCGGGAGATCCCAGGAGATCCCAAGTGGTCACATTCCCCAGACCTGTTCTCCTAATGCAGCAGAATCTCTCAGATAAAGCTTATTTTATACCAGGTTTGATGTACTCTTACTATCAGAAGCCTTATATATATATAAGGCTTTATATATATATAAATTTTTTTTTTTTCCCCATCACTGTGAGACCACAGAAAGTGCTTCCCTCCAGAGGAGTTTATAAGACAGTCATAGCGAGCTGTAATGGAAGATAAGAAGTGACACTCTCTTCATCTCTTTCATTAGTGAAGAGGTGCTCATTTAACACTTTCTGTCAAGATAAATGCCTTTTTAAAAATGTTCCCGTAGCAAATCGGCCCTTGTGGTCTATGTTGCTGTAGTCGTGGTTTGAACACTGGCAACAGCTGGCGCCTTCACTCTCCTGTTTGTGCACGTTTTGGCCACTTTGAGAATGCCCCAGCCATTCAGAGGTGGATGGGTAACTTGGCAGAGTCTCATAGATTTTGATAATCTGGCCTTTCTTGGCAGGCCTACCCTGTCGAAATCCCTGTGTTGGCTAGTCCTTTTTCACAAATTAATGCCACAGAAATAATAACTCACAAATGAACTAATAACTTTTCATTACTTTGGTGTCTCGAGTACCTTCCTGCATTTTCAGTCACTAACAATTTTTTAGGCATAGCCAAACACTAACTTCATCTTCATTATTTTGATCTAACAGTATTAGTAGATGTCCTTCATTTGTTTTACGGAATTAGAGCTAGTTGGTCAAATATTGAGGAACTAGGTATTTAGGAACATCTGTCTAAAACATCTGTTTTATAGTGTGGTCATAGGTATTGGTGATAATTGGGTTTTCTTTTCCCTCTTGGTCAAATGGGATAATTGGGTTTTCTTTTCCCTGTAGGCAGCTTATTTCTCATTTTTGAAATTGTGAAATGAATAAGTTAATGCTTTTTATTAATATACTCATAACTTTTAGAGGTGGTATTTAATTGTGTGAGAAAATATTTCTTAGGAAGAGGAATATAAAAACTTTTTACTGCAAAATTTATTATTTCTATAGTGAAGTCCATTATTTCTATGTAAACTGGGAAAAAAACTATTTCATTTTTTCATAATAGATACTTAGACCATATCCTTCTTGGGGTAGGAAATGGAATGTCTCATACAAACTGAAACTTAAATTCAGCTGATATTTTAAAAAATTCATACTCCATACAAACATTCATGATAAAAATTCTCAACAAAGTGGGTTTAGAGGAAACATACCTCAACACAATAAAGGTCATATATGGAAAACCCACAGCTAACATACTCAATGGTGAAAAACTGAGAGCTTTCCCCTAAGGTCAGGAACAAGAAAAGGATGTCCACTCTCACCACTTTTATTCAACATAGCAATCATACAATAAAAAGAAATAAAAATCATCCAAACTGATAAGGAAGAAGTCAAACTTTCACTATTTCCAGGTCACATAATACTACAAATAGAAAACCCTAAAGACTCCACCAAGAAACTGCTCGAACTCATAAGTGAATTCAGTAAGCTCTCAGGTTACAAAATCAGTATACAGAAACCTATTGCATTTCTGTACACTAATAAAAAAGCAGCAGAAAGAGAAATTAAGGAATCAATCCCATTTACAATTGCACCAAAAATAATTAAAATACCTAGGAATAAACTTAACCAAAGAGGTGAAAGACCTGTATTCTGAAAACTATAAAACATTGATGAAATAAATTGAAGATGACACAAAGAAATGGAAAGACATTCCATGCTCATGGATTTGGAAGAACAAGTATTACTAAAATGTCTATACTACCCAAAGCAATCTACACATTTAATTCAATCCCTATAAAAATATCAACAGCATTTTTCACAGAACTAGAACAAACAATCCTAAAATTTGTATGGAGCCACAAGAGACCTTGAATAGCCAATGCAATCATGAAAAAGAAAAATGAAACTGGAGGCCTCACAATGCCAGACTTCAAGTTATATTACAAAGCTGTAGTAATCAAAACAGTATGGTACTGGCACAAAAATAGACACATGAATCAATGGAACAGAATAGAAAGCCCAGAAATAAACCCACCATTATGTGATCGATTAATCTACAACAAAAGAGGCAAGGCTTTGCAATGGGAAAAAGACAGTCTCTTCAACAAGCGATATCGGGAAAACTGAACCACTTTCTTACAGCATACACAAAAATAAACTCAAAAGGATTTAGATATGAACGTGAGACTTGAAACCATAAAAATCCTAGAAGAGAACATAGGCAGTAACCTCTTTGACATCAGCCATAGTAACTTTTTTTTTAGATATGTCTCCTGGGGCAAGGGAAACAAAAGCAAAA